CGCGGCACACCGCCCACCGCCCTCTTGCCGCCTCCCTCGAGCCTCGTCGGGACCTCGCCTGCAGGTGGAGCAGCAGTTCAAGATGTGGGGCATCCAGCACCTCTCCGCCTTCTTCGTGCGCGCGGGCTACCGGCAGCTGGTCGACCTGATCCACCTGTCCAAGCAGGACATCATGGCCCTCGGCGTCACAAAGGACGCCGAGGTGCGGCGCGCGGTGCAGCTCGTCGAGCGGCTCAAGCAGGAGCACCGCAAGGAGTCTCTCGAGATGGAGCAGCTGTGAACAGCGTCTCTTCACACCTGCAGCTGTGAACAGGAGCACCGCAAGGAGTCTCTCGAGATGGAGCAGCTGTGAACAGCGTCTCTTCACACCTGCAGCTGTGAACAGGAGCACCGCAAGGAGTCTCTCGAGATGGACGCGCTCTTCGTCGACCCCGACTCTGTCGACGTCAAGACGTGGCTCGAGAAGCGGTCGCTCGGCGAGTTTGCGAAGCTGGTGGCTGTGAACGGCGTCTCTTCACACCTTTAGCTGTGAACAGGTCGCTCGGCGAGTTTGCAAAGCTGTATATCTCCCCATATCTCCCCACATCTCCCCATATCTCCCCAGGTCGCTCGGCGAGTTTGCAAAGCTGTTCGAGCGGCACCGGGTCGACTTCGAGGTGCTCGGCGACCTCACCTACGAGGACCTCAAGGAGATGGGCCTCAACGAGGTCGGGCCGCGCCGCCGCATCCACCGCCAGATCGTGCAGTGGCGCGACGACCGCGAGGCCAAGAAGGCGGACGCCATCCGGTCGCGGATGCAGGTGCAAGAGAACAAGGCCTACCTCGAGAGCCAGCAGCAGAACGTCGACGACCGGCTGCAGCACCTCAAGGCGTCGCTCGGCGAGTCGGGGTACGTCACCGGGTTGCGCCCGTCAAGCGGCTGAGGAGCGCGGGCGAGGGGGCGGCGCAGCGCCGCGCTGTGCGTGCGAAGCACAGCGGGGGCCAGCCGTGGGGAGGCGGTGCCACCGCAGAGGAGGAGAGGGGCAGCCCCTGCCGCTTGCGTGTGGGTGGGCGCTGGGCGAGAGGGGCCCACTACGCACGGCGGGCGAGGTGAGAGTACCTAGCGGAAGCTGACTGACGAGGCGTAATCACGTGTCGACTGTCGTGTGTGTTCGTCTCTCTTTTTGGGGTGTGTGTGTGTGTTTCGGCGTGTCTGCGCCCGGCTGTGTGTGAATAGAGTCGCATCGTGGCTCGCCACACGGCTCTTAGCCTCTACGCGAGAAACAACACCATGTACTCTACACCCCGAGCCCAACCCCCGGCAGCCCCGCACCTCGCCGCGTCCGCACCGTCTCACAGACACCTTACGTTAGTCCCCTTACACACCGAGTCCACCACGCACCAGACTCCAGAGGAGTGTGTGCAGTGCAGTGCAGACGGGCCAGCCTGCCAAAAAGAATAAAGAAGCTGCTCGCCATTAGATTGCACGTGCGCGACTCAGCGAGCGACGGGGGGGGGAGGGAGCCGGTATCGACGAAAGGGACCGCTAGCAGGAGACGGTGCCCAGCCCTACAGGTAGTGAACGATCGTCTTACACACATCAACTGCACATGCACATGCGCGCACTTCCAGTAGCGGCGCAACACGACGCCGAGCAACCGACGTCGGCACATACAGCTATATCATACTGACTAACAGCTAACTACTCAAGTATTGATATTAAACACGGCCATGCTCATACACCATTTTGGACAGATCTTATGTGGCGAGCACAATCGTCGCGCTCTAACGTAGCAAGGGTGGCTAAAGTCCTCGCCGGGCGGCTCGAAGGGCATCTTCGTGTGCAGCACACGCGCCCGAGCCTGCCTCCGTGGTAGGGGGCGGGGGAGTTGGCTCTCGGCGGTGACGGCGCAGGGTGGCATTGTGCTGCAGGCTGAGTTGCCACGCAATTGCGAAGTATTCAGTGTTGTCACGCACGATTGCCACGTGCACCTTCGGAGGGCCTTCCTCAAACGTGTTGATGCTCCCTTGCACGCGTGCGAGCACGTCGCGCACGTCGAGGATGTCGTCCTCCACACAGGCATCAGGTTGGGCGTCGCTCGCCATCCAGGGGTGAGACGAAGACACGCTCTCGTCCACAACAGCTGTCTGCAGGTTAAGCATGTCCTCTTCTGACAGGCCCTGCGAGACGGAGTCGAGGTAGAGCATGCGGCCCACCTGATCCAGAAGCGTCGGGTGGAGCAGTCGCGCCTTGACATCTGCCAGGCTGAGGGCGAACGGCTCAGCAGCAGAAGCCAGTAGGCGGGCCGCAGCAGCGGCAGTGAGTGCACTCCCGTTGGCGCTCGCGGTCGGCTGCATGTCCAAGTGCGCCGCGAAGAGGGTGCGCATCTCGTTGCCTCCCAGCGCGCTCGCAACCTCTTTTGCAGCCGGGCAGCCGTGCAGGTCGATGAGAACCGAGCGCCCTGTGTAGCCATCGAGGCCGGTTTGTAGCACCTGGCCCGTGGGCAGCACACCGGTGCGGATCGAATGCACGCACTCCGCATATGTCAGTGGGTTGGTCACTGACGGCGCCGGCCCGTCGTTGTGTGCCGTGAGAGCCTGCTCAATCGCCATGTCGTCCTCGGGGCCATATTCCGGACCGTAGAGCAGCTTATTCATCCAATCCATGCGCGCCGCCTTGGAACGATCGCGGCGGATGCAGAACCAGATGTTCTGGCAGACAGGCGACGGCTTCTGCGTGGTTCCTGACACGAACATGGAGTGCGGCTTCCAGAACCCTTGGGAGGTGGCGAGGGAGGCGAGCTTGGCGACGGAGAGGTTCAGAGGTGTGAAGCCTTGATCGTGGTCGAAGTACTCCATCTCGGGCAGCAGGTTCGCGCGCGTCAGCAGGGGCACCTTCCGCTTCTCGCCTGGTCCGGCGTGCGCCTTTTCGCTAGCTTCCCCACCCTCGTTTTCGTGCGCCGTCGAGCGGTAGTGCTTGAAGGCGGCTTTGAGGTAGTCCGGCGTGAGCATCTGGCCGACCCGCGTGTGGTGACCAACAACAAAAGTTTCGACATGCCTTACTAGATCATTCAGTTGAGTACAAGGATTAGCCCCACCGACGGCCGCTGATCTGCCGCATGTTGTTAGTAGCTGAGGACTTGTTGAGTAGCGCGTCTCTGAAGATGTTCATATTGGAACAGTGTGCATACTTCCGTGTCAGTAGATGTGCGTGGTGACTCGGTTTCCTTGACAAACATTCTTCACTGAAAAGTGTTTTTCTTTCAAAGCCAGTGCGCGCGAGTCCCGTGCCCCGTGTCGTGCAGAACGCCAATGCTCAAATTCTTATTCGACGCGAGACGCGGCGCCGGCGCCGACTCGATCGCTCGCGTTTGGTGACCTGCTTTGCCAAACGCACCATCTTTGACAATCACGACGGCAGCTGTTGTGTCTCAGAGATTGACAGCTGCCGTCGTGGTTGCACTCGCTCGTAGCCCACCTGGCTCGCAGCCGGTCCGCTCGACGCGAATCGCCACGAACGTCGACTTCGAGGTGCTGCCTAGAGCTATGCGCTGTAGTTGCAGCGCCGCGCGTACCTCTCAGCACCGCGCCAAAGCAGCACACCATCCTCCGCTGGTAGCGTGCGCGTGGATTGCACAGGCGCACAGCTCTCTCTCAGCCATCGCGAAACGGCTGTGCTTTGACGTTTGAGGTCAGCAAAACGCCACCGAGCGCGGTGCCGAGCCGTGCTGCTGCTGCCCGCTAGCAGACAGTGCATCAGCGGGGCTGTGGCCTCATTTTGCCAGATTTTAGCGATAGTGCTTGCATATAGTATATGCGAGCACCTATCTCGCTACCGTTGCGGATTGAGGTCCCGCGCACCTGTTTTTCGGAACCACCACAGCTAGCTGTGGTGGTGGGAGTGGTAGAGGATGCGATAGAGGATTAGAAGTGTGATGTTACAATGATTGACACATGAATATCAAACATACTAGCAAGCTAACAAGGAAAAAAAAACTGTTCAGTTTTCAAAGGCAGCTAGCGACTGTGATAAGCCGACTAAGCATGATATATTGAAAATCATTGCAATGAAACATGGTACATGCGATGCTTGATCTTCTTCTTTATACTTTCGTTCAATTTACTTTAGTTCAGGTTCTCTATTAGCGCGCCTACCGCCCTGGGTGGTGGTGGGCAATTCAGGAAATGATGTCATAATGGTTGGGTAGTAGGGCTAGAGGGTCGCTCTACACTTAGCCTCTGCAGCGAGCGAGCGCTCAACTTAGCTCCCGCACGGAGCCGGGCTCAGACTTAGACGCTGGAAGGCCGGGGGCCATGAACTTAGACGACACGAGGCCAACTCCGGGTAAAACCCGGGTATACCTGCAAAAGTCCAGGTTTACCCGAAAAATACCTGGACGCGGTCCCGACTAGCGTATGCCGCGCACGACGCCATATCGCCGTCTCCCAGGGCCAGTGCGCTACTTGCGGCGCGCAACGCCTGCTCAAGTACGCGCACCCGTACCATGTGCTGCCGCTATGCGTGCCTTAAGGCGGCTGCGGCGAAGCGGCGGGCGCGGCATGCCGATGGCAGTGCGGACGATGCGGTTGCGATGTGTTCTGCTTCAAGATCGTGGCGGTGCTTGGCATGCACTTCTGCGATCCCAATCAGCTCATCGCAACGAAGCAGCGCAACAAGCTGGCTGCTGCCAACAAGGCCCTATGCTACCTCACGCGCGGATCGTTCAAAGAGGACCAGCATACACAGGCTTCTCTGACATGCGTTTGTTTGAGCTTGAGGCTATTTGTGAGAACTATTTGGCTAGATGTCGCCGAAGTGCGCTCAAGAAGCAGCAACGAGAATCGGAAGAGGAGGATGCTGAGGCGGCGATTGCTGAGCATGAGGAGGATCGATCGCCCGCCGCGCAGGCGAAGAAAATTTGGGCGCGAGCGCCGTATATCGCGTGCCATGGCCGACTTAGCCGGTGTAAGAGGCTCCCGCTGATCTTAGACCGCGTAAGCACTCCAGCGTGGCTAGCCACACTTAGACCCGTTAAGCCGCGAGGCTCAGAACTTAGACTACTACTGTCATGGGGGAGTGGCGGCACCTCACTCAGCTTTTGGTCGCCAGTTCGAATCTGCTCAGAGGAGTCGTCAGGAGAGGGTAGCAGAGAGGGTAGCAGAGAGGGTAGCAGAGAGGGTAGCAGAGAGGGTAGCAGAGAGGGTAGCAGAGAGGGTAGCAGAGCGGACGAGCACATGGCTGAGTTGCTTGCACCCGAGCCGTCGGCGGAGGCGGCGGGTGGACAGCTGTTCCGCGTCGGCGATATATCCTCTGCGGCTGCGATCGCCAAGGCGCGGCGGTCCGACTTCCGAGAGGTTTTTGATGAGCGTGACAGGGAGGGTGATGCGCGCCTTGCGAAGCTGAAGCTGGCGCCCCTCGGCCAAGAGAGTCCTGGCAGGGAGCGATGCTCGGGCTGTGGCGTGATGCGCTCGGCCTTCTGCTCTGAGTGTCTTGCCATGCTGCCCGGGCAGGCCCGGCCGGAGATAGCGAAGTTGCCTTTCCGCTTCGTGATCATCACACACCCAAAGGAGCCGCGCAGCCGGAGCACGGGTGTGCACGCGGCGGTGCTGGCGGCCGGCTGCGTCACACTGAGGACGTTCGACAAGGGCGACGAGGCCTGCCTGCCACCGGAGCTCTTCCCAGCGGGAAGAACCTTCCTGCTGTTCCCGTCCGATGACGCTCTGACAGTGCCGCAGCTTGCGGCGAAGAGGGAACCGGCGGGGACAAAGGCACCGGCGAAGGCGCGGGTGCAGGAGGGCGATGGTGCAGATGAGGATGGAAACGCTGGCCGCCTCGTCGTGGTGGTGATTGACTCAACGTGGAGCCAGGCCAGGCAAATCATGGGCCACCCTTGCCTCCAAGCGTTGCCCAGGGTTGCAGTTGCGAGCCACCGGACGGCATTCTGGCGGAGACAGCATCTAGGGGAGAACTACCTGGCCACTGTGGAGGCTGTCTACTACGTCTGCACCGAGTCCCACGGCGACGCCTACGATGGCCGCTATGACAACCTCCTCTTCTTCTTTGTCAAGTTCCGCAGCTTGGTACGGCAGCGGATCGGCACTATCCCGTGCCCCACTGAGGCCAAAGGCAAGGTGTGCACCAAGCTCCAGTGCCAGCACTCGCACTCGCTCTCGCTTGGCGCTGATGATCACGGTCGCAAGCAGCCGGTGCTGCTGGAGAGCTCTGAGGGGCCGACAGAGACGCTGCCAGTCTCAGGAGCCGAGTGAGCCATTCGCTGCCCCATAGAGCAGGTCATAAGTCATATATTAGGCGAGATATTAGGTGTGTGCGGTGACTGGATCCACTGCTGTATTGTGTTAATTTGTGTTATGTGTGTGTTATATTTGTGTAAACATACAGCGCGCAGCACGGTGTGACTCCTCCCCGGGTCAGTGGTGTCCGGAAACTACCGTACGTGAAACACGCATTGCGGCACTGTGGTATCGGGCGAAAAAAAATTCACGACGAGGTCCCCCGAGACGACAGGTCCGACCGCGACGAGGTGTCCAATCAGAGCCTAAGTAGGTAGGGAAAATCCCGGTCATCAGTATCATTAAATGGACTTGGAAACGACCTCGGAGGCATGCTCGGACGATCAGCGTACAACCGTACAACGCGTGGACTTGCGCCTTGTATTTTGCGGCTAACTTCTATTGTTAGGCCCCCCCCGCGGCCCCGCTTGCCCCCCTCGCGCAGCCTCGCGGCCTCTTCCCATGTACTCGAGTACTCGTTCTGCATGTCGCGCACCAGAACGACGGGAGGTACTGTACCGATGGCAACTAGGATGAGGATGTGTCTTGTTCGGGCCGGTGTGTGTGTGTGTGTGTGTGTGTGTGTGTGTGTGTGTGTGTGTGTGTGTGTGTGTGTGTGTGTGTGTGTGTGTGTGTGTGTGTGTGTGGCGCGCGGCTCCTGGGAGACCACAGGGGGGTCGGGGAGAGCGACGCGTGCATAAAGCCGTATACGGCTTTACTTGAAGACGGCCGCAGACGTGTCAAGGCGGCGGTTTTGCAGGAATGCACCCAGCTCAAAGCTCAATGCACAATGGCAATGGAATGTCGAGCCATACATACCTTTCGCATGAACGGCACATGGCGCTTTCCCACGTCCCAAGCGCCGTTCCAACCGCTACATATTGCACCTCTCTGCGGCAAAGTATGCCGCATCAAACCGGAAGCGCTCGAGCTCACAGAGGTGCGGAAGCAATGTCTCCAGCCTGGCCAGCGCCTCGTGCTGCTGCGCCACGATGCTTGGATCCACGACGGGCCCGCGTGGCTTTGCATTTTGCGCCGACAGTGCGGCGTTCTCGAGCATCCGCCATGTGTCCACCTCGCTCTCGGCGAGAGTTCCCGAGCACCGCGCGCATTCGCATGTGAAGCCCCAGCGAGAGTGTAGCTCCGACTGGCGCATCTCACGTGCAGCGAAGAGGACGGTGGCGCTGTAGCACAGCACGATCTCCTCCTCTGCTGCCACGTCGCATGCCACGATTACGTGGGCAAATTCCTCATTGTCGCACAGACGGATCGACGCGTTCGGCACACACGAGTGGTTAATGAGTGAAATGCGCCGGAAGAGGAGGCAACCCGCTGGATGCACAAAGTGGTTCTGTGCGATCTGCGACGCGGCCTCGCTACCACAGAGGCCTTCAAGGGCATCGGACGAGCTGGCGAGGTGAGCCAGTTCCATACAGCTCGACGCTTGAAGGGGAGCTTCGCTCATGACGCATGTGCCTGCTGTCATTTGTCGAGCTGCGAAAACGCCACGGCCCGCGTTCGCCGTTTGCCGCACGATGTACGTGCAGTCGCTCATTTCACAACCCCGTCCTCACGATTGTCGGCCGCGCTGTCGCGAACTGCGGCTCTGCAGGCCAAAAGGCCCCTCCCTCACGATATCGCCGCTGTGCTTGCACTAGCGCATCGCTGGACTCGCTACGGCAGGCGCATTGCTCATCGGTACGAAGGCACACCCAAGTCAGGCGGCTTGCTGATGATTTGCTGATTGATGACTTGCTGATGACTTGCTGATTATTTGCTGTTGCCTTGCTGATGACTTGCTGATGACTTGTGGATGATTTGCTGATGCCTTGCTGATGACTTGCTGATGACTCGGTGGTGGTGTACTCATGACTTTCTCGTGGCTTGCTTGTGGCTCTGCGCATAGTCCGCTGATGGTTAGCCCGTCGTTTGCTCACAGCATCCTGATTGCTGAGTGCATCGCGGCTCCCTGATTGCTGATTACATCACGCAGGGGCGTTTCCTCGATAACCCGAATTATCTCCCGCGCTTTTTCACACCGCCGAACTTCGAGGCCGGGCGGTTTACACGTTAGACAGTCGTGTGTGTACGTGACGGGTGGTGTCGTAGTGTCCGTGTCCACTAGCTCCGAGTAGAGGGGGCGTTCTGCAGTTAAGGGGAAACCCGGTACACGGAGCCCTCTCGGAGACCCGTGTTTACTTTACAGCCCTTGCCCTGCGAATGCGCACCCCCCCTAGCTAGGGGTCAGGGCTCTCTAGCCCGTAGCCCGATGCCGATCATCCGGCTCGCTGGGTGCGCTTCTCAGCTCCCCGGCCCTGGATGTGAGGTTAATGACTGCACTCCAAGTGCTCCAAGTGCCGCCACCACACAGGGATTTTAAGGAGAGGAGTGTGATGCGCTAGCCGTCGCCCACCCTGGGGAGTCTGCCTCTTCGTATCTCTTTTCGCAGTCTCTCGCCGCTTCTCGCTGCAACCTTCATGCCACCTCGCGGCCGTCCCACTCTCGTCGCTCTCTCCCTTGTCACTTCCTTCCTCCTCTGCCGCGTCGTTCTCTTCTGCCTCGTCCTGCGGCGCCGCCGCCTGCCGGTCCCTTGTTCTCGCGGCTTCTTTCGCCTTTCGGCGCAACTCCGTCCTCCTCGCGGCGTATCCTGGCCCCTCGAGTCTATCGAGCTCCCCTCGCGCAAGGACCACAGTCAAAGGGGGAAGAAAAACGTAAAAATTCTCTTCCGACGGAATGGCAGCTTCGCCTTGCGGCGATCCGTGGAGTCTCCACTCCCTCTCCGTCCTCACCGAGTCCGTTCGCTGCCAGCTGCTCGCGCTCGAGGAGGCTGCCTTCCCGCCCTGCGAGCGACTCGGCACCGCCGGCCTCGCGGCGTTCGTGCTGCAGCGCACCAATGGGATGGTCGTCGCGGAGGCGCCGTCGCGCCGCGCCGTCCTAGGATTTTGCCTCTACTCGCGCGCCGCCTCGAGCGCCCTCATCACAAAGGTGGCGGTCGGCGCCGCTTCGCGGGGCAGAGGCGTCGGCTCGGCGCTGGTGGCTCGCGCGCTGCAGGAGATCGTGACGTCGAGCCGGCGGCCGCCGGGCGAGGTGCTCCTACACGTGGACCCTGAGCGCAAGGGCGCGCTGCGTATGTACGAACGGCGCGTTCAGTGCGGTGCCGCGCTGGCGGCGGCGGCGGCGCGCTCCGACCAATCGTGTTGCGCAAAATAGGTTCGGGTTCGAGGCGGCAGAGCGGCTGCCGGGGTACTACCCGGACGAGCACCCGCCCTACCGCGGCCGCGACGCCCTGCTGATGCGTCTCGACACCGCGACGCTGTCGCGCGCCTCACCACCCCGCGGCCGCAGCGCGAGTGGCTCTGCTGCTGGGGGCGGATGATCCGACCTCCGCGGCGGGGCTGTGCGTGCGTGTGTGCGTGTGTGCGCGATCGGCCCTCGCTCCCGCGCGTGGGTAGGTGGTCGACCCACGGGGAGGGGAGATGGGGTTGGTGGCGATGGAGAGGTGATGGTGGAGGGTCAACTCTTTGGCTGGGCGAGGAAGTGTGGTGACTGTGAACGTTGGTTGTAAATTTATCCGTTGTGCACTCAAAGTACAAAGAGCCGTCTGAGCTCACAAAAGTTGTTGCTGCTGATTGGTCTGGTGCCCTTTTCGGAGGAGTGTCTGGTGCGCCTCGCTGGCGCCACCACCCGCGTCCGTCCTCGAGCCGTCGCTGTCGTCGTCTGCGCAGTCCTCTCGCTCGCTGTCCTTGGCGTCGCCGCTGTCGCCGGCCGTGCGCACGCCCCCCTTCGCCGCCGCCGCCGGCCGCACCTCTGGCCGGCGGCTTGCGCGGTACCGGAGTCCGATCTGCGCGCCCAGCGCCAGGAAGACGATGCCGATACCGAGCAGCTCCATCGGCACGACCTACCAGGACGGTTCCGAGAAGGTTCCGAGAAGGTTCAAGAAGCCGATGCCGAGCAGCAGCTCCGTCGGCGCGACCTCGTGGCCGAACTGGACAAAGGAGTTGAAGATGGAGAGCAGCTGGCGCACCTGAGAACCAGCCGCCATGGCATCAGTCTGCGGCCTGCCGCCTCTTTGACCCGCCGGAGGGCTGGCCCGCCGTCTGGATGGTTGCGAAGACCAGCGGGCCGTACGTCTTGATGGTGTGAAAGATGAAGAGCTGACCTGCGGCGGGCCATCGAGGATGAATGGAGAATCGCCACCAGGGGTCTCGACGGTGCGGGGAGGGGAGGCCGACGGCTCTCGGCGATCTCGGCGACTCTCGGCTACTCTCGGCGACTCTCGGCGAGTCTCGGCTGGTTGGTGGCCGATGGCGGAGCAGACGGCCATGAGGAAAATGTGCGGCAGTATGGCGGGGTTCTCGCTGACGAAGCGAGACACGTCCGCGAGCTCCCAAGTGAGGCAGAGGCCGAGGGCGGTGAAGGCGGTCGAGAAGAGGTTCGTGTACACCATCATCGTGATGGAGCCGACCGAGTACTGCTTGAAGACACGCGACTGGTAGTTTGAGGTGAAGGAGTCGCACACCATGTACGCCGAGATGAAGCAGACGCCCAGCAGCTCCGTGTCGCGCACGGGTGCCTCGTTGACCTCGTACGTCTTGAAGAGAAAGACGCCTACCCCAATCCCCACCACCCATGAATCCTCATGACGACAGTCATGGCCTCGCAAGGCCGGAGGAGAGAGCGCGCCGCTGGTCAGCAGGACGGCGATGGCGTACTCGGCGGCGGGGTAAGTCTTGCGGGAGACGAAGTAGCCCATCACCATGACCGGCACCATCTTGCACGACTTGGCGAGCACCTACCTTCCGACAGCCTCCCCTCACCTCGGCGCCTCTCGGCGCCACCTTCCACCGACGAGGTGGCGGGCTGAGGAGAGGAGCAGCCCCCCCTCTGCTGGCGAGAGCAGTGGCCCCAGGTCTAGAGGCGAGCGCCTGCGTCGGGAAGGAGATGTAGCGCAGCGCCTCGTACTGCGAGACGGACGACAGGATGTTGGAGACCGACGAAAAGGAGAACTGGTACAGCGGCGCGGTGTGGGAGACGCAGGCGCCCTGCGCGCGCTGGGCCTCGCGGGCGGCGTAGGCGACTAGCAGCGCGAGCGCGCGGTTCGCAAACACGAGGAACTTGGACGAGCGGAACAACTCCCCCGTCGCGTACGGCTGCGTCATGATCCGCTCCTGCATGTAGCCCCATAGCACGTAGCTCACGACGATGCCGACGGCGCAAAAGGCGACGTGGAGCGCCGCCATCACGAAGCTGTCGCCGCTCGGCCGCCCCTTGGCCGACGGCCGCTCGCTCCTCTTCTCCTCCACCGACTTGGCGGGAGGCTCCACGATGAGTCGGGCGAGCGCCGTCAACACGCCCGGATCGCCGGCCCTGCCCGGCTGCGAGAGGAGCCACTTGGCGAACCCCACAAAGGCGTAGAAGGAGCCGAAGGAGAGGATGTACGACGCAGTCTCGAGCGGGGCGGAGGCTGGCATTTCGAGCGAGCGGTTGGATGTGACCGCGGCCGCCGCCCGAGCGGGGCGAGTTCTTTTTTACCACGTTGCATTGCGTTTTGCCTGTGGCGAGTAGAGACCACGCCTCACTTTTTCACACCGGGGTCCTTTTTGAAAAAGGACCACGCCTCACTTTTTCACACCGGTGCTTTTCGCTGCGCATGCTCGAGCCCCCGGCGAGGGCTTGTGCTGTGAATAGCAGGTGTGGTCTCTACTCGCCAGGTAGTGCTCTCTACTGCCGCGGCGCCCCTGTCGGTTCGGAGGCGCCCGGCGGCCGCGCGCTTGGTGCCGACGTCGACCGGCTGCTCTTGCGGCGCCGTGGCGTGCTTCGGTCAGTCACGTCACGCGCGCTGCGAGGTGTCTTTTGGCATGTGAGCGCTTGGCATAGACGCCAGGAAGCTCGCCTTCCTTGCCTGCGGCCGCGGGCGTGCGGGCGGGCACGCCAGGCTCGGCGACGCTCCGCGCGGGTCTTCGAGGTTCGAGCTCGCGGCCCGCGACGAGCCAGCATGGCTCGTCGCTCGACGGGAGCCTGCCCAGCATGCTCTCGGCACTCTGTACAGCCTCGACAAGCTGTCTGGGAAGGCCGACAGGGCCAGGGCGGGCCGTCTCGGGCGCGATGGCGCGCTGACGATACTAGCATGACAACGAGCTCTCGATCGGGTCACCGGCAGCGGGCTTGCGTGGCGCGCTGCTCGACGGCAGGCTGCTCTCCAACCTTTCAACAGTGTCTTTTACCTCGCTCCTCTCGCTGCAACCGCCTGCGGGGGCCGGCGCCGGCCGCCTCGCTTCGCCAGCGCTGCCTTGCCGCGAGGCCTGCTCCGCCTCCGAGGAGCCCAGAGCCCGTATATACAACTATAATGCGAGCAAGTGCATCTCTCCTTTGTTTGCACTATGACCTGTCCGCTGTCGCTGCTTCCCCGAGTATCGGATGGGCACCTTCACGCTTCAGGCCAATGCACGTAGCACGAGGGGGTCTGTCAGTGGAACTTCACAGCTATGCCTTGCTCCTTTAGGTGCTCTTAGTATGTTCTGACTCATCCGTCCCTGACTGCCTGAGTACACTCCCTTCCTATTGTCTTGTACTCGGCGTCCTGTGGGTGTGTTCACAGTCTTGTGTGAATTTCGGCGTCCGCCGAAGTTCAAGGTCCGTCGGTCTCTTTTGACCGCGGCGTTAGAGAGAGTCTTTGCTTGTCATGCCTTTTGCCTTCTCTCTGGCGCTCCCGCTCCTGGCCGGTGATTACACCGACAACAGCCGTGAATTCACGCTAAGGCATCCCGCCTTCCCGCCACGTCTCGTTGCGTTCTGCCAGGTCTCTGCCCGCAGTTGCTGCTGCTCACGCTCTCGCCGCGCGGGAGCTATCAAACGGCCACGATGGCACCACCTGCTCCAGCGCCCTACCGTCTTTCAAGCAAGTGGCTCCTCCTCCTTTCCGCCTGCGTGCAGAACGCCTCCTGCACGGGCCTCCTCTTTGGCTTCGCAGCGCTGCGGCCTCTGCTCCTCTCGCTCGACGGAAGCTGCGACGAGTCCGTCTCGCGGGCCTTTACGCTCGCCGTCACCGTCAACATGCTGGCGCCTCTCCTCCTCGCCGGACCGCTGCTCGACGTGTGCGGCCCGCGGGCCTGCTCCTGCGCCTGCACCGGCCTCGTCGGCGCCGGGTTCCTCCTGTTTGGCCTCTCGCCCTCCTTGCCTGGCGGCGCGGGCGCAGCCTACGTCCTGCCTTCGATGCTGCTAATCGGCGCCGGCGGGCCCGGCTGCCAGCTGTGCCTCTTCCACACAGCGAACCTGTTTGCGGCGCGCGGCATGGTTATGAACCTCATCACCGCCTCGATCGGCGCCTCCTTCGTCACGTTTGAGCTTCTGGCGCGGCTCAGCTCACCGGCGGAAGAGGTCTCGCTGCAGCGCGCCTTCCTCGGCTACTCGCTCCTCCCGCTCGCCTGCACCTGCGTCAGCGCAGTCACCATGCCCGACTCGCCCTTTGACGCCAGGGTGGCCGACGGCGGCGCCGGCGCCACGGCGAGGCGGTCGCTTGCGTCTCGAGGCGGCGGAGGCGGTGGCGCAGAGGACAACGAGGTCGCCTCAACTCCGCCGCCCGAGACGCCGGCTCGGCCTTCTCCTCGGTCCTCCGCTCGTCGGGCTTCCGCCTCTGTGCGCGCCATCTCCCGCGGCGCCGCGCGAAGCCCGACGCCCCGCTCCTCGGGACTTGCTCCTCCCTGACACGTGCCTAGAGCCCGTCTGCAGGCGCGGCGCGGCCGATGGTCTTCATCCTGCGCAAGAGGTCCTCTCACAGGCCAGCCCTGCGCTCCGGACAGCTGAGCGAGCCGCTCCTCGGCCCGGCCCGTGCGGCGTGCGATCTCCGCGCAGAGTTGGACACGGACGGCGACGCGGCCACAGGCGGCGGCAAGGTGGGCAATGGCGGCGCGGGATACGGCGGCAAGGTGGGCGGCGGCAGCGGCGGCGGTGGCGGCAGCAGAGGGTGTGCGCAAGGCGAGCTGATCGGAGCGTCGCTCCGCAGGCAGCTGCTCTCTGCGCCGTTCGCCGAGGTTTCTGCGTCGTTCGCGACGAGCGCGCTTTTCTACCAAACTTTCCTCGGCAGCTTGGGCGAGCAGGCGCAGGCGACGATCCGGCAGCGGCAGCCGCTGCTCAGCGACGAGGAGGCGTCCGCACTCGCCGCCTCGTACGTCTCGACCTTCCTCTCCCTTGCCCCCCTCGGTGCGCTGCTCAACGCACCGCTCGGCTACTGCATCGACAGACTCGGCTTCGAGCCGATGCTCGCGGTCACATTGCTCGCCGGCGCCGGCCACGCGCTCGCCCTGTACTACGGCGCGTTTGCGGCGGGCGCCGCGGCGTTCCTGCTGCTCACCGCCGCCTCCTTCTCGTACATGTACGCCTTCCTCGCCTTCACGTTTGGCTTCGAGTACTACGGGCTTCTCGCGGGCATCGCCCAGTCGGTCGCGAGCGCCGCCACTTTTGCGCTTCAGCCGAGGCTCCACGCCGCTGCCGCCGGCCCGGGCGGTTGGCGCCGCGTCCAGCTCGCGCAAGCCGCGGCGTTTGCGTGCCTCGCCGTCGGCATCGTCGGCGGCCGGCTCCTCTGCCGCAGGGCGGGCGCGGCCGGCAGCCCGCAGGCCACCAGCCGGCGCAGCGAGGCGCGGCCGGCGGAACGATCGTACTCGGCCGGCGATTTGCATGCCACGCCGAGCAGCTTGCCGTTCAGACGGAGGCCGGACCTCTTCCCTCACGCCGACGACATCTTGGTGATGGACGGCGCCCTCGCGCACTACTCGCACGCCGCGTACCGGCTCGAGGCGTCGATCGAGTCGCCCGGCCGCGACGGGCGGCAGGGGCAGCAGCTCACGCCGAGTAAGTTTGCGTCGCAGCTCGCTGTGGCCGCGGTGGCGCCGCCTCGCCCATAGTCTCCACTGTAGTGTTGAGTTGTCACTGTCGCTCTCCGAAGCTCCGATGTTGCACGTTTGTGCCCCCCATTCCGGGGGCCCAATCCGGATCGGGGTGTAAGTAAGAGTGTATTTATGTATGTAAAAGAGGGAAGCAGTCGAGACACGAGAGAGGACAGTGCGAAGAAATTTGCCCGGATCGGGACCTCTCTGCCCTACGCGCTCAGGCCCTCAGCGCGGTGATGCACGCACAGACTCATCCTCTGCGCCTACGCTGCGCTAAAGATCTCGCCGCACACGGACCCACATCCGCGCGTCCAGTGCCAGCCTCCATCGACGGAGAGCGTGTAGAGTCTGTAATACAAAACAGGTGGAGGCAGCGTGACGTTTTGATCCAGTATACTCTAAACTATCTCTGAGCGCTGCGCTGAGAGCTGTCACCACTTCACACTTCTCGCTCGCGACACCGCTTACTCGGAATAGCCTCCAAAACAGCAGGTGTTTGACGGAATCGTAAATTACTTATTGGCCACCAGGCTAGGCGCGAGCCGGCACATACACCACGATTACACCACGTGTAGAGTATCGGAAACACATCACGTCCAAAACGCCGATGACACAACTCTGTGGCGCGTGAGCTGCCCGCGACGAATGTATTGACTAGCTGGGCGACACTCGCCTGCCGACAGATCCAGCTCACGGCGGTGAAGCGCGCCAGCGTGGCCTCTCAGCTCGCTCATGCCGGCCTCGTTGCCACGGCGAGAAGCGAGTCGCATGACATCCATAATTGACATTGGCGCGAGGCCGGGCAAGGCCTAGTGGAGCTAGTAGTCGCGCCCAATGTGTGCTCATCAGAATGCTGCTTGTACTCATGCGGAGGAGCTGCCCATGCGAACAAAACATCACGAGCGAGGAGGTGCGCTCCGCTCGCGGGCAAGGGCAGAGCCCTCGCCGCGAGCCATCGAGCACTTCGGACTCGCGGCTATGACGAGTCTGTGGCCATGCTTCGACCGCGCGCCACGATGGATTCGTTCGAGCAAGAGATGCTGATCTCCTCTTGGACGAGAGAGTCCGCAAAGAGAGAGCTGCGGCGCGCCAGGGCGCTGTGTCGCGAGGTGCAGACCGAGGCAATGTCGGTCTCCAGAGGCTCGCCGAAGGTCACAGAGCGAGGCGAGGTAGGCGATAGCAAGTCTGATGTGCCAGACGAGAGCAGGGCAGACGCGGGGACGGGGGAGCAGACGGCAGTGCCAGACGAGAGCAGGGCAGACCCGGGGACGGGTGAGCAGACGGCATCGGCCGCCATATAACAATCATCGCGATCTGATGTCCAGAGCAAGGCTGGAACACGACCCGGACACTAAGATTTTTCTTTTTCAGGTATTTGATAAGCATATTAAAACAACGCTGCATGAAGATATCAGCCGCTCCCGATGATTTGCGCTCTGTCTGAGTCGAGGTGTGTCCGCTCCGCTCCTCTGTGCTCTGAGCTGAGCAACTGCAGGGAGCCCCCCATCGCCCACCCACCCATACCAAACAACTACGCCTTCGGCAACACCGAAGAGAAGGCCCGCCGCCTAAACATGGGCTGCAAGGCGCGCGCGGGCAGCCCGGCCAACCCTTCTCCCACAAGACCGGCCACGGCTACGTCAAGGCGCATCGCGGTTTCTACCACGACGCGATCTTTGTCAAGCGCAACAACTTCAACCTGCAGCTCCACGAGACGTTCGGCGGCGGCTTCTCGCCCACCGCCGTTCTCAAGCTGCGCCGCCTCGCGCGCAAAGTCGCGCGCGGCAGCGTTGACCGCACGGCCTACTCGCCCAAGTACTCGCTCTCTTTTATGCTGAGCCGTGGTCTGACAGCCTGACAGCAAACCCCGGACAGCGCCTGACAGTGCCCGACAGCCTGACAGCGCTGACAGCACTTTCTCCGACAGTCTGACAGCACGTCTCTGACAGCCTGACAGCAGAGCCTGACATCAGAGGCGTCCCGTCGCTGTCAGGCCCTAACGTGACAGCCTGACAGCTGCCCGACAGCCCGACAGCACACAGCGGCCTGACAGCAGCGCTGACAGCCCGACAGCCCGACCAGCCCGACAGCAGCACAGACCGTACTCAGGCCGTGCAGCCTCTTTCTTGTGTCCCATGAGGGTATAGCAAAACTATTACATGCAAAGACATGTGTATGTGGTCCGCGCCTTCGATTCTGTGGAGTCCGCGCCAACCTCTGTGCACAGTCAGACCGGCTTCTTCAAGCAGCCGTGCTTGCACTTTCCTCTGGCTGACACCTATGTCCAGGGTGGCGCGTTGCTGGAGGAGCCGGGAGAGAAGGAGGATGATCCAAACGGCACACCCGATGCTGAGCCGGCCGAGCTGACCGCCATGGGCGCACAGGATGCTGCAGATGCCGAGGCCGTGCTGAACCAGCTGATGCGGACGGGGGCCAACGTGGCGCCTCCAACCGGCGGCGAGGAGGGCAGCAGCGCAGAGTTTTTTGAGGAGATCCGTAAGCTGCTGGCAGATTTCAACGTCTCCATCCAGGAGGAGTCAAAGGATCGCAAGCTCCGCTTCCACGTCAAGCGGCTCATCAAGTCCCATCAGCAGCGAGGCGAGGATGTGGATGAGGAGCTCGACTTCTACATGGATGATGATGACGGTGACCACGCCCTTGCCGCCTGTCACACACACACATAAGACGTGCATTCTCATCTCTCCCTCTTCTCCTTCTCTCCGCAGTTGCGGTGCTCTTCACCATGGAGGACAGCTCCAAGGTCTTTGACATTGGCAACATCGAGCAGGTGGCCGTCGCCGACGGCACGGTAGACGCGCGCCGCTAGGGTGCCCACAGGACCCAAAAGAAAATAGCTTTCCGACTCAAAAAGGGACGCACGAGGCAAATCTGATGTTGGCCAGTTCCAATAGGAGCGAGGCCTCTTCCGTTGGGGGACCGAGTACATAGGAAACGAGGGTTCCCCGGTTTGTCACGCGCGAGCGCGAGCGTGACACTGCACTTGGCGCCGAGCGCCCGCGGCTCAGACCTTGTGCAGGCCACCCCTCGGTGGTCACGCCGGTCCGGACCGATGGCGCTCGGTGTGGAGCAAGCAAGACCCCCCCCCCCCCCCCCATCGGCGCGCGCTCGCCATTCCAACGGCCGCCAGGAGCACCAAGAGGACTCCTCATGGCTGTGACCAAGTGGGCTTCGACCGGCCTCGGCTGGGGGGGCGGGTTGTCCCGGCTGCGGACGCCTTCTGCAGCCCCCTGGGCCCGTGACAGCACCCCAAAACTGCCCCTCGGCGGCATACAGCACTGCCAGCCAGCCTCTTCCTCCTCCTCAAGGGCTGTACTATGGCCATATTGCGCCGCCTCCTACTGGCAGCCGGGCGGGCGCGCGCCGCGCGCGCCTCGGCGCGCGCACGGCTCGCAAAGTTCGAACGAGTACTGCCGCCCGGCCGCCTCAAGGCTGCCGGGCGGCAGTACTCGCCTCGCAAGGCGCGCATCGGCTGATCTGGCTGCTGCGCCGGCGGCCGCTGCGCTGGCCGCTGCTGCGCCGGCTGGCGGGCGGTACGGCCGCCGGCGGCCGCTGCACCCGCGCCTTCCCTCGCGGGCGCCGTCGCGCCGCGCGCGCCCAACTCTTCTGGCACACGGCACGCGCGCGTCACACAGCCGCGGAGAACAGGCGGTGCAGCGCGCGAAGCGCGCGCGATCTCGTACTTTTAAGGCTGGATCCGGCCATTCCAAGGGTATACCTTTGAGAATCCCCAGCGTCCCACCCTCCTAGTCACACTCTCAATTTCTCGACTGGCCAACACGAAGTGCTGCGATCGAGGGCGGCCCATTTCTTTTTTCCTTTCTTTTTTTGGGCCCTGTGGGCACCCTAGCGCCGCGCCGGCAGCTCGAGCGCAGAGTACCTGCGCCAGCTCTCGATGAGTCAGCGCAGCAACGGGGTCTTCATCAACGACCCCAAGGGCCTCTTTATCCTCCGGTGGTACCGTGAGGTGAAGGGTGACGGGACCCCCCAGACGGCCCGCGCTACCAGAACAGAGCGTGCAAGTAGTACAAGCTGACGAGCGACAACGATGGGGAGGCCTTCCGCTGGACCAGCAACTACCAGATCATCAGCAAGGTGTACCTGAAGAAGCACTCCCCCCTTCCTCTCTGCTATTCTCTCAGTGCGGCAGACAAGAAGATGGTGACATCCACCATGAAGAAGATGGTGGGACCGGAGGCAGAGTAGAGACTAGAGTATGTGCAGCAGAGTCCTGCTGGTCTCCTCTTGATAATGTCATAAGTGTGGCTGGTGTGTGTCAGAGCCTGACAGCACCCCGACAGCACCACCTGACAGCACCTGACAGCAACAGCCCAACGTCTGACAGCAGCAGCAGCCTGACAGCTCTGACAGCTCCGACAGCGTCTGACAGCAACACCCGACAGCTCCGACAGCACCCGACAGCTACAGATCCCCTGATGTCAGACACGCACCCGACAGCACCCGACAGCACTGACAGCACCCGACAGCTGGTCTGACAGAGGCACCTGACAGTGCCTGACAGCTGCCCGACAGCCCGACAGATCACCTGACAGCACCTGACAGCCTGACAGCCAGGGCTCAGCTTTTATGTCCCACCATGCAGAGCGCATCTCTCTCTCTGTTGTGCGAGGCGTGAACCGCGCCATTCGCTCTCACCTGGCAACCCTGTCTGCACGTCTCGCGCGCGCGTGAACAGGGCAGTGTGTGAGTGTGTGTGCGCGCGCTGCCCTCGTTCACTTAACCCGCCCCAACCCGCCCTTTGGCGCCAAGTGTTCTAGCGCTCCCCTAGAGTGCCCAGGACCACCCTAGGGAGTATGAGGGTGTTGTATTGGCTGCTTGCGCAAATACAGAGAGATATGGGGGCACATGGAGGCCGCCGTCACCAACGGTTAAACACCCCGGGGAGGCCCCAGAGCTAAGCATCCGAACGCCTGACCCTCCCCTTAGTCGCAAGATGTGAGTGCACCCTAGGGCATCCAGTACTACTCTAGGGGGCATCAGTGTGTGGAATGTGATGCTGTTGGGTTCACACAGCAGTAAGGTGGCTCATAGAAGCCACCTGCACCCCGGTCCAAGCGAGCTCCCCGGGAGGCTCTTCACACGACAGCTCTCAACCGGCCCACACACGCACACACACACACTCACTCATCCAGAGACTGGAGGGAGCTGGCCATGGCAGTAGCCAACATGGTCCCAGCCTCCCTTGGCCACAGGCCTCCTGCACTTCTTGCAGAGGTTGACCTTGCACACGACGCAGCCCAACCGTGGCTCCGGGACACGCAGGCCGCTAGGCAGATAGAAGCGTGCGTGCCCCCCCGGCGTCTGCTGCGACGAGCCCTCCACCTCCTCACAGAGTAGCAGGCAGCCAGCACAGTGGCGACGGCGGTGGCGACAGCGGTGGCGAGGGTGGCGGGGAGGGTGGCGGGGAGGGTGGCGGGGCGAGAGGCGACAGCGGTGGCGCACCCTCGCCCTCGCCCTCGCCCTCGTCCTCGTCCTCGTCCTCGTCCTCGTCCTCACCTGTGCGCCACGGAGAGGGCGGCGGAGGTGAGGGCGTCGGCGGCGGCGGTGGCGGCGGCGGTGGCGACAGCGGTGGCGACAGCGGTGGCGAGGGTGGCGGGGAGGGTGACGGGGAGGGTGGCGGGGCGAGAGGCGACAGCGGCGGCGCACCCTCGCCCTCGTCCTCGTCCTCCTCCTCGCCCTCCTCGTCCTCCTCATCTGTGTGCCACGGAGAGGGCGGCGGAGGTGAGGGCGGCGGCGGCGGCGTCGGTGGCGACGGCGGCGGCGAGGGTGGTGGGGAGGGTAGCGGGGAGGGTGACGGGGAGGGTGGCGGGGCGAGAGGCGACAGCGGTGGCGCACCCTCGCCCTCGCCCTCGCCCTCGTCCTCGTCCTCGTCCTCGTCCTCGTCCTCGTCCTCACCTGTGTGCCACGGAGAGGGCGGCGGAGGTGAGGGCGGCGGCAGCGGTGGCGACGGCGGTGGCGACAGCGGTGGCGAGGGTGGCGGGGAGGGTGGCGGGGAGGGTGGCGGGGCGAGAGGCGACAGCGGTGGCGCACCCTCGCCCTCGCCCTCGCCCTCGTCCTCGTCCTCGTCCTCGTCCTCCTCCTCACCTGTGCGCCACGGAGAGGGCGGCGGAGGTGAGGGCGTCGGCGGCGGCGGTGGCGGCGGCGGTGGCGACAGCGGTGGCGACAGCGGTGGCGAGGGTGGCGGGGAGGGTGACGGGGAGGGTGGCGGGTCGAGAGGCGGGGAGGGTGGCGGGGCGGCGAGAGGCGAGAGCGGCGGCGCACCCTCGCCCTCGTCGTCCTC